AGCGGCGCCGGCCGTATCTCCTCGGCACAGGAGCCTGTCGAGGCTACGGACAACGTGTTAATAGATCAACAAAAACACTTTCAGCTGCCAGAACGAAACCCCCTCCCAAGCACCTCCAGTCACCACCCCACTCCCCCCCGTACTGCCATTATTCCTCTTCCAGAGCAGAATTATCCAGCTGGGGGAAAAAGATTCAAATTTTGCAAAAACTATGCTACGCTTATGCCTGCTGAATGACATCATCAAAAGCTTTGAAGCGCAGCAGCGTGATGAAATAGCTTGCCTCTTTTTGCTTTTTATTGCACTTGCTGGATGAGAGCTGTCGGTGCCGGTGTCAGCTGAATGCAGAGACTGAACTGGTCCCAGCCACGCTTGTGCTTCAGGGGGAGGCAGGGAAACGGGCCCAGAGCGCTGCAGTCAGGCCCTGGGAAAACATTACAGAAAGAGGTGAAAAAACTTCTCTCGTCCCCCATGTCTCTTATGGATGGAATCTTCTTTTTTTTTTTTCTCTCTCTCTATTTTTGCTAATTAGTGGAATTTAGCAGTTCTCACGGTGCCCTGAAGGCTGATAAAATGTCACCAGAAATCAGAGTTCTTGGTGCAGCAGGGAAAAAGTGCAATTAATACGGGGGGGGGAAAAGCCACAGAAATGAAAGATTAGAGGAATAAGAGCAAGAGGGAAAAGATATGTGTGAGAGATGGTCTTCTGGGGAGTGGGAACGAGGCAGACAGTGCTGTTCTCTGCTTTTATAAAGGCAGTATGAATCACAGAGAAGTGCCATGTCATGTAGATTTTCCAAGGCACATTTTGCTGTTGTTCAGCACTGCAAACAATAACGAAAAAAAAAAATCCAGCTAGACAACAAAAGCTACCAAATTTAATACAGTAGCAGTGGGACGCCTCTTCCTTGGGCTCGCTTTAAAATTGCATGACCCTCGTTCACGTGGCGTGAAGTTTCAAGGGACGACACATGGGAGAGGACCTGGGACAGAGCACCGCGTTCCCCTGCTGCGCCCCGCTGCCTGGGAAGGAGGGCAGACTCCTCCTAAACACACGTTTCATTTGAAACACCTACTCCCCAAATAACGAAGGATAAGCAACAGAGCCGGCGTGCGTACGGCGTACGTCTCGGCGGGTGTCAGCTTCTGAACCCACGCAGGAACAGCTCCATTCCGCCCACACTCACAGCCAGAGCTTGCTATCGCAGCACGTGTTGGGGAACAGGCTCTTTGGCAAAGTCTTGTTGCTGTTCCCACTGCAGCAGAGGTGGTGGGATTTAGCGACTGAATCCCGAGATGCGGCTCCTACCTGAGCTGGGAGATGACAGCTCACTGGTCAAAGACATCTGGGCGGGCGAGAGCTTTATTTCCTGCACCTCTGATGTAAATATATTAATACTTACTTGCTTACAGTGACTCTCAAAGATGCCAAGAGTCCTCATAGCTTGCACTTTTACACTCAAAAGCCTCCAAAGACAGTGTTCTGCCATAGTTCCCTCCTGATTAATACAAGCAGAAGATGCTGATGGCTATTTCTCGCTGCTGAACCGCCCGCGAGCGGGGCTGTCCCGGGCAGCTCTGTGCTCCCGCAGTGCCCGTCCCCATCACGTCTACGGCACCAACACACAGCACCAAGCTCCCCCACAGCCCCGTCCTGGGCTGCTTTTGCAGCAAGTTTCATGCAAGACTGATGTGAAGGAAACTTGTAGTTACTCTGGAGTCCAAATAACTGCGTTTACTGAGCAGACGCAACACCCAAGGCCTGTCTGCACCTCCAGCTCGCTGCTCTGGGCAGCAGTAAGAGAGAAAAGCAGGGAATGCTGCTGGAACAGTTGCAAATTCTTGAGTGAAAGAGAGAAAGGGAGAGAGAGACTTTCATTACCGAATCCTACCCTGAGTCCAAAGCAGACAAGTACATCTTGGTAGGAAGCAGATGTACTTGCACTCTCAAGCACTGCAACAGCTCTGATGACTCTCTTCCATATGAAGTCAAGGATTTGCCTCCTCCTACGTTCACACGGAGCCGTTTCCCAGAAGGTACCGACCTACGGGAAGGGGAGTGCTGTCACTGACAGACAGCCCAAGCAAAGGCTCCAGCTCATGCTGCTGCAAGCTCTCCACCTTTGGCTTTGCTGACAAGCCTCGCTTTTTATGTTCTCATTTAACGTTTCCCTCAGCTCAAGAGAAGCAGGCTGTGTTCCCAGGAGGGACACCTCCCTGCTAGGGGTGCGAGGAGTGAGATGCGCTGGGAGACGCTCAGATTTTTTTTTTTTCCTGAGGAATTAGGAGGCAGCAGCTAAACACAGAACTGGTAGCTATGGGGCAGAGAAGCACGTCCTGCAAAGGTAGCCCTGCACCTTGATAGCCTGAGGACAACCTTACTGTCAAGGGGAGAGACCGGCACAGAGCCGTAGATGTTAGGACACCACTTAACCCTTCAAATCGATGGGAATATGCCATTTCCCACGGAATATGCCTTTTCCTGCCTCTTTATAGATCCCATTTTATCCAGCAATATGACCAGGCAAAGCACGGATCCCCTGGCTCATCCCTTCTTCTCCTTAACTCAGAGCCATATATTCTAGTTGCTGCCTCAAAATGAACAGCATTTACTACAGGGTGCCTCATCCCTTTGGCATTTTGGTGCGAAAATGGTAAAAGGAGCTGGAATCTATTCTTGGCTCATGTATCATCAACACACATCCTCCCTGCATGTTTTTTGTTAATGAGGAGCCAAAAATCAAAGTAGGGAGTATGTGGAGGTCCAGATAAAGCCATTTGGAGGGAAACAGCTATTTCCCGTGATTTGTTGTCCATCGACACCAGGCGCTGGAAAATATAACCATTTGGAGTCATTTCTATTGGTCACTGGGGGCGACGCTCGCAGCGGGGAGTGGGGTCGGGCGTCAGAGTCATGCCTCTCAATTGCCTCATTTCTTTTCTCTCTCACACTTCAATTTCTGTGCAATCACAGCTGCATTAGAGAGTGATCCCTATTACTGCCTTGCTGGCACATAAAATCAAGCCCGATGCAGTGGGGGATGGGAGGCAGGGACGGTGCGGATCAGCTGCTCGGAACAAACCTTCCCCCTGTGTCCAGCGCCTGGAGAATAAGCAGGACTCCCAAGAGAAAGATCTTTCAAGGACACGAACAGGAGCTGGCTTGATTTTCAGCAAGGATTTAGTCCCCAGTAACCTTTACCAATTGTGTTATGCTCCCTACAGCTGAAAAGGCGATGCTGTTTGGTTTCCAACAGGAGCTGTATTTTAAATTAAATGAATGTAGCTCCAAAGATTTCCAAGAAATAAGACCTTAGAACTGTTCCTCCTCCTTCGATCACACTGTACCTTCTGATAGTAGTCCAGGGAATAATGAAGGCAGTCTGCAATGTAATCTGCAGTCCTCATAATGAATTTCTTTTTGACTTTGTCCCTAGCTTCTGATGAGAATTGCACATGGCCCTCGCTGGGCCACGACCCCTTTGGAAAATGCAATGAATATTGGCGTCGTTCCTAATGTGGTTGACCCAGATCTAGGAGTGAGTTGAAGTCCTTACCTATTGCTCCATGGTTGCAAAAATAAAATATTATCCTGGTCCAGATTTCTGAGCCCACCCATCCATGACTTAACGTTGAGCACAAGCCACCGCTCTGGGCTACGTGGGTGGGCTGGGAAAAAATAAATATATCGCTGGTCAACTGCCTGGACAGGATGGGTCATATCAATAAATCACTGCTCCAAGTCCAGCGTAAAATGACGCTCCTTCCTGCCCTGAGTAAAGGTAGAAAGAGCACGGCCAAGCCAGGCCAAGCAGGCAGCTATTGATTTTTATGTGGCTGGAGCATCGTTTCCAATTTCCTGACATTTGTGAGGAGGGGAAGCACTGCCAAGGTTACTGGAGCAGACGGCAGGGAAGGCTTTGTTTGTAGAGGGGTGCTGAGATCCCAGATGAGCCTGGTGACCTGCCTCTACAGCTGGGAAAGCCTGGTCCTGCTGCAAGCCAAGGGCAGAGGGAAATCAGACGTTAAGCCATGGACCTGGAACCGTGGGAGAGGCTGAGCAGAACATAAAGGAGAAGGAACAAAGCCTGGTGGAAGGTGGATAGGAAACCCACTGAGTGAGCGATCAATGCACAAAGAACATCAGGGACCTGGGTAAGAGCCAGCGAATACAGGTGAGCCTGAGCTGTGATGGAGCTGAACTGAAAGGACCAGCTCCCACTAAGCTGCAACAAGAAAACTGGGCTGGCTAAAAATACAGGGCCTTCAAGCAGCACGATCTCTTCCTCCGGACACAACGCAGGCCATGAACTTGGGCAAAAATAAATAGGTCAAGGAGGGTGGCTCCTTCAGAACTAAATTTTTCAAAGCCGGCAGCACTCAGGCAGGCAGGACCATGCTGGGGGGCTGGTGGGGGCCACCCCTGCCTCTTCACCCTCCTTCGGGCAGCGCAACGTCACCCTGGCTCCCTCACAGGCAAATCCAGGCAAGCCTAATCTGATCATTAATAATCACAATGAGCTAGAAAGGTGGTGGCAAA